GCGCATGGCGAGGCGGAACTCACACGGATGACGGCAAAATAAAGGTTGGTAACAGCTTAGTTTCAATTAATTTTTTTAGGTCAAGCCATTTTAGGGAATATTGTTCTTCTTAGATTTCTGATCTTTTCCAACGTTGTACAGGCTGAGAAATCTTGGTTAAAACTGATTTCCGCAATAGATAATTGTTGGCGCTTAAAGTTTAAAGCAGCCAGATTTTCTTTTGCAGCTATCGAAAACAAGGAAAAAACAAAAGAAAACAAAACAAAACAAAAAAAACAATTAAAATCGCTTGGGTGTTTGGAAATACAGTCGAACCTCCGTTTGTGACCACCTCTCGTAAGGGACCACCTCTCCTTGTACTTCGTGGAATTTTGTACATTTGCTGTTTTCGTTTGATTTTCGGTCTCTTGACCTTTCTTTGCTTCATACGTACTTCTGAAGGACACTTTGTGCTGTGCTATTATTTAGAGCAAATGCAAGTGGACTCGTTCGGCTTGGGTCACACAGTGACCAGCCCTTCCTCCACTGGGGGTTCTTCCTTATATGGGCTATATAGATAGGTGAGTCCCCAAAGGGTATGGGTGTTCAGGCGTTTTGGTCATAAATTGGTTATGGTTTTTGCACTTGTCATAGGGACTTTGTTAACGCGTTGTCAACGTACATCAAGGTACAAGGTAGTTGTGAATTGGACGTGTTTATTAGAGGAGATTCTTTTTCATCATTATCAATAAGGCCATCAAGAAACGCCCTTCATAAATTATGCTTAGGACAACTGCGCCAGCCGCAACGGTCATTAATAGGGTATCGAATTCTTGGTCAGGTCATCACAGATAGGGAACTAGGAAATTTCGCAGATTTTTGTCATAAATAGGGTAAGGGTGTTGGGAAGCGAGAAGCACATCCCCATCCGATTTTTCTGGGAGTACCCCCACCCACCCGGGGGCCCAACCTTGGGAAAGCATATTAAGAGGTTAAAGCAGTGAAGCTAAAAACCACCTAAATTGCCACTGATTGGCGTAGAAAACCTCAGGGGAACCTAAAGAAACACACACCTAAAGCGAGGCAGGTTTATCTTTATTCATACTTGCTATTTTTCAGACTTAAGAATACAACCTTTTTTCCCATAAAAATCCTTAATATTTCGACTGTCGCGTAGCCTGAGTACAAGTGTATGAAGTACAAGGGACGCTCATTTGCAAGCTTGGGCCATCTGTACGTCATGCTAATGATTTCCTTTGAACGGTCTTTCCTTCTTGATATATTATATCAAACACTGAAGACATAAAAAATAAACATTTTCCAAAAAATATTACGCTGCGCATGGTATTTGCATCTCTCCTCTAGGTGAAGAAAGTGTCTCTTGTATTTGATCATGATGAATTATTTTAATATTTAGGAAATAGAAAACATTTTCCGTGTTTCTATCGAGTTATAGAAACACGAGTGGAAGTTTGGGTGAACGAGAAATGCTGTGGGAGCCCGAGTCACAATCGAGTGTTTCCAAAGCTTTTTCGAGTTCTCCCAAACTTTCACCAGTTTTCAACTATCGCGCGATAGAAATCGAGAGCGAATAATCTAATTGTTTTGGGATAAATCTACTAGTCGTTCAAAACTTTATCTAAATCCTCTTCACAGACACTTCGAAAACGCCAAGAAGCAGCCGTCATTTTGTTGACAAGGACCCACTCCCACGCTACTCGCTATCACGCTACTTGCTTGTTTACTTTGATAATCAAAGTAAACAAGTTGTTTTCCTTTTTTTTCGTCGCGGTGTTTGCTATAAGAAATAGAAAACATGTTCTCCGTATTTCTATCGAGTTTTAGTGTAAATCTACTAGCGTTCTACCACAAATGCCGTTCTCTGATTGGCTACGTTACTCACTATCTATTTTGTGATAGATACTGATTAGCGTAGCAGTGTTCCCCTGTTAACAAAATGACGGCTGCTTCTTGGCGTGTCTGTGAAAAGGATTTAGATTGAGGTTTGAAAGACTAGCAGATTTATACTAAACAATTCGCTCTCGATTGAGATTGAGATTGACTCGCAGCGCGAGTCAACTATCACGCGATAGAAATCTTGAGCTGATAATCTAATTAACAAATAGATTCCATGTTGCCGTGCGTCTGTTCAGTAATAGATCACAGATGACGTCAAAAT